CGCCGCCGCCATGACGGGCCGGGCCCGCCCCAGGGCCGCGCCGGCCGTCAGCCGCCCTGCTGCCCCGCCAGCACCTCACGCGGGGCCCTTCGGGTGCTGACAGGGTCCCCCCTTCCGCGCGGTCCCTGAGGGGCGCCGCCCTTAAAAGCCTTAAACTGACGGTCGGGGGAGACCTCTCCAGTGGTTCCCTCCTGAGCCAGGGTCTGCGCTCTCCCGGGCGTTGTTTCAGGGCGCGGGCCCTGTGAGGTCCTCTGGCCTCGCGTGAGGTAGCAGGACCAAGTGGTGGCAGCCTCCCGCCTGCCACCACCAATTTACTCCCTAAAGCGGAGTAAAATTCTTCATGGGGACGGTTAAGTCTGCTCAGTCTTCCGGAACCGCTGGACCTCTGTCTACGCTTTACCCTGGTTGTGAGCTGGAGGGACGCTGGGGCCCTTGGCGCATCTGTGGGGCACGAGATCCGGCAGCCCAAATACCGTCGGCTGTACCAAGCCCCTAATTCCTCCAAATGACGGTCACTGGCTTGGACGTGGGCGGACGTGCCGCCTCTTAAATTTAACTCGGAAAAGATACCCCTTCCTGGGGTTCGAAAAGTAACCCGTCAGGTCCCAGAGCAGGGCTGAGTTCAGGGCTGGACCTAAGGCCTGGCCCAGGCAGGGTCAGCACGCACCCGGGGTGGAGGTCCCACGACCCCTCCGGGCCCACGGGCCGAGGCCGCCTTGAGCCAGTCCCTCCTCAGTGGCGAGACCCCTGACGATGCCACGGACGTAGCTAGCCGTGCACAGGTGCCCAGAGCACTCGGTCCGCCAAAATGGAAGCGGCCCGGGCAAGGCTTCCCGTTCCCGTGAGATTTTCCTAGTGAATGCGGTCTCTTGAGCCTAGGCAAACTCAAGTCGCTCCAAGCAGTGGGGTTTTATACAACCTACGGGCTGACAAAGCCCGCCTGACAGCACGGCTGCCCCGTGTAGCCGGTGCTGACCTCCGTGCAAGCTGAGCAAAACTCTGCCAAGTTGCTGACTTCTTTGACAAAGGGTTGTCTTACATCAGCTGCCCTTCCCAGGTCCAGCCCGTTGGTCTGAAGGGTGAGCGTCAGGATTTGTGGCTGGCTCTGTTTGGGACACATAGGCTGAGTGTAGTCCCTGCACAGCCCATTTGTAAGAGTTTCAGAAAACATCTGGGGAGAGACTTGTGGCAGAAGGCAGGACAGTATCTCACCACTTTCCCTCCCCAGCATGTAAATTTGATGCCAGAATTTGACCGGTAGCTTCTTTCTGAAATAAATGTATCTGCTCGCACATTACCTGCTCTCACCTCCTCGCTGAAACAGGTATGCAGACATTCCAGCTCTTTCGTCTTATTTTCAAAATGTGGTGGCATGTATTATGACCTTTTATTATTAATAGTTATACGATGCATATAAAATATTTTCACCTGTTTGTGTTCCTCATGAATTACAAAAGAGTGCTCTCTGTTAGCTCAGCTGATTCTCCAAAACACGATGACAATACGTTTCTTACAATACATTACCACTGAACCCTTACAACTAAATTCTGGCTGAGCTAAGTTGACTTCAGTGGAGCCACGCTGCTTACCCAGCAGAGGATCTTGTCTTAAGAAAGGAATATGAGGCAAGGATCTGCAAGTGAGTCTGATTTAGTTTATCTTTCAGAAATGTTTCTTTAAATACTAGTTTTACTTTTGCAGCAATTTTATCAGATTTATATCTCATTTTTAAATCCTATTCATGCTCTCAGATAGGATTTATGTGAGACTGAAAGAGCTTGTGGCTCTTGTTTGCACAGAGATGACTTTCACCAAGTATGAAAAAGGAGTTGTGAGTGAAAAGCTGATGTTTAACAGGCAGCAACAACGCGCGCCTGTAAATGAGCCTGGTGGACCACATGGTCTCTTAGGGAGCCTTGTCTGTACAAAAAGACTGAAGTGGTCACTGCTCAGCGTTGCCTATTGTTTTAGAGTAAATGTTTTCCATTATATGGTCTACATGGCATCAGGGATATAATTTGGCTACAGCTGGCTGGCCACTCCTTCCTCCCCTCAGCACTCTCATGGAAAAAGAGGTATTTATCTCACAAGGCTACTCTAGGGACCAAAGCTCTGAAAAACGGCATTACTATGTGACCTTTTTTCTTGGTAAATAAGGAGTGGTGATTACTGAGAAAGCACAAACAGTTCTGAAAGGAGACTTTATTTGCTCTTTTCATGTATGTTTATGTAAGTTTTTTTATTTATCACTTGTATGGCCATGTTAGCTGAGGGAAGAAGCTAGCACATGAGCCCAAACCCTGTGGTCATCCATGCTGCCTAGATAGTGTGGCTCTAGTCTGGGGTGAGTTTGAACACAGCAGGGACTCGCCTTTCCTAGAGCTCTGCCCCACCAGGCAATGGGAACTGCCTCAGGACAGCCGGTTCTGGGAACGTGAACCCCAGCTTGAGCACAGCTACCAAAGCGCAGTCCAGTCCCAAACATAGGTCAAGGACCTAAAGTACCACCTGGATGAAAATAGAGGGATACTATTCCAGGACAATGAAAGGAGTTTCAAAAGTGTCCCTATGACTTGAGCCCACTTACTTAGTATTTCTTAGATATCTAACTCCTGCTGCTTTCAGTGGGAAACAGTGCCTCAGTTTGCTGATCTAGATTATCAATAGGGTTAATGCAGCTAAAATGTCCACCTGGTTTTTACAATGGAAATAATCTCTATTAATTCCACCCTAGCACCTAACCTTTCTCCTACTGACATCAACGGTGAATGATCCATCAAATTCTGTGGTGTGGGATCAAATCAGTGACTTGGAGAAGTCTTCTGTCACAAAATCATATGTGGCCAGAAACAAAAACAGCAGTGAATACTCCCTTGATGTTTTCAGGCTCCAGATTAATTTCACTATTTGTTTTGGATATGGGTAGCCGTATGTGAGAGAATGCTACCAGCTATATTGTGTTTTCCTGCATCTGTCTCAGTGTGGCACTGGTGTACTTTGAGACATTCTCGAAGATGAAGTAAAGATTTGGGATTTTGATTGATTCAACTACTGTGCAGACATTTATGTACTATTGTCATTTCATTTGATTCAGTGCATCCCCAAAACTTTGAAAAAGTGCTGAATAGTCCTGGCACACCAATTATGCGGTATGCACGTTCACATTTCTATTGTAAGCCAAACCAATTACAATGTTCTGCTACTGTTGTTTTATTGACTGCATTATGTAAAAGCCTTTCTTACAAATTGTTTCATGACTTTTGCAGCTTGCGTGAAGCAAGTTCTTCATCCAGAAAGCTGAAAAGTAGCAACAGCATCTCCCATTACAGACATGCATGTGCAGAACAATGTGTATGCTCCTCTCCTGTGTGAGTCCAAGGGTAATCCAGTTGTTCAACACTCTAAGATGCAAAAAACCTAGCCTGTCTGATAAACTGGGA